GAAGGCCACTTCACCTAGCAACAGCCAATCCAGTGACATCACAGAAGGCCACTTCACCTAGCAACAGCCAATCCAGTGACATCACAGAAGGCCACTTCACCTAGCAACAGCCAATCCAGTGACATCACAGAAGGCCACTTCACCTAGCAACAGCCAATCCAGTGACATCACAGAAGGCCATTTCACCTAGCAACAGCCAATCCAGTGACATCACAGAAGGCCACTTCACCTAGCAACAGCCAATTCAGTGACATCAGAGGCCACTTCACCTAGCAACAGCCAATCCATTGACCTCACAGAAGGCCACTTCACCTAGCAACAGCCAATTCAGTGACATCAGAGGGCCACTTCACCTAGCAACAGCCAATCCAGTGACATCACAGAAGGCCACTTCACCTAGCAACAGCCAATTCAGTGACATCACAGAAGGCCACTTCACCTAGCAACAGCCAATCCAGTGACATCAGAGGGCCACTTCACCTAGCAACAGCCAATTCAGTGACATCACAGAAGGCCACTTCACCTAGCAACAGCCAATCCAGTGACATCACAGAAGGCCACTTCACCTAGCAACAGCCAATCCAGTGACATCACAGAAGGCCACTTCACCTAGCAACAGCCAATCCAGTGACATCACAGAAGGCCACTTCACCTAGCAACAGCCAATCCAGTGACATCACAGAAGGCCACTTCACCTAGCAACAGCCAATCCAGCGACATCACAGAAGGCCACTTCACCTAGCAACAGCCAATCCAGTGACATCAGAGGGCCACTTCACCTAGCAACAGCCAATCCAGTGACATCAGAAGGCCACTTCACCTAGCAACAGCCAATTCAGTGACATCAGGAGGCCACTTCACCTAGCAACAGCCAATCCATTGACCTCACAGAAGGCCACTTCACCTAGCAACAGCCAATTCAGCGACATCAGAGGGCCACTTCACCTAGCAACAGCCAATCCAGTGACATTACAGAAGGCCACTTCACCAAGTAAGAGCCAATCCAGTGAACTCACAGAAGGCCACTTCACCTAGCAACAGCCAACCCGGTGACCTTGTAGAGGGCCACTTCACCTAGCAACAGCGTTTGTTTTCCAAACAAGCAGACACATATGCATTGGGTAAGATAGCTAGATAGATATATAGATGTATAGATATAGATTGCAGCCGTAGCCTCCTCTTCCCCGTATATATTTTTCTCTGCCGTCCTTGAAATCGAAAATCTCTCTTTTTACTCACTTTCGGTCGGTGAAATAATCCCGCCATTCTATCGCATTCTGCAAATTATATGGTGGAAGGCTGCAATTTTTTGAGCAGCAAGGGAAAAACCATACAGATTTGCGCCTCTTAGTAAAAGGCCAGAACTTCTCAATGGGAAGGAAACAGGGAGTTGGAAAGGCAACGTAAGGATAATGCAGCGCTCAAGGAATTCCGCTGGAAAGTAGTTGGTTACACTGGCAGTTCCAAGTAGTTAGCTATTAGAGGTGTGCAAAGTGACTGAAATCCAATTAGTAATACGTTTCAGAGATTCGTATGGCTCGCGCTTCGATTCGTAAAGGTTCGGAAGAGTCCTGTATCGTATCGTAATTTTCGAGTTTCGTAATTTTTTCGTTAAGATTGGTTCCATTTGTGAGACTCGTTTCTCTGTCATTTTTATGGCTATCGGGATGAAAATTGGCACACTTGTAGGCAACGTTTATGACTTTATGCCTGCCAAGTTTCAGGACATTTCGGTCACCCACTGATTTTTAGGGATTTTTAAAAGATTCGGAGGGGTCCAGTTTCATTTCTTAATCCGAATCTCCGAAGCTTCGTAACTGTTTCGTTAAGATTTGTTCCAGTTTGAGACTCGTTTCTCTGTCATTTTTAAAGCTATCAGGATGAAACTTGGCACACTTGTAGGCAACGTTTATGACTTTACGCCTGCCAAGTTTCAGGACATTTCGATCATCCACTGATTTTTAGGAATTTTTAAAATATTCGGAGGGGTCCAGTTTCGTTCCTTAATCCGAATCTCCGAAGCTTCGTAACTGTTTCGTTTTGTTCCATTTTGAGGTTTGTTTTTCTGTCATTTTTAAAGCTATCAGGATGAAACTTGGCACACTTGTAGGCAACATTGATGACTTTATGCCTGCCATAAATGTTTCAGAACATTTCAGTCATCCACTGATGTTTAGGGATTTTTAAAAGATTCAAAGGGGTCCAGTTTTGTTTCTTAATCCGAATCTCCGAAGCATAGTTCAATTCGAATCTCCGAAGCTTAGGTCAATTTCGAGGCTCGTTCTCTGTCGTTTTTACAGCTATCAGGATAAAACCTGGCACACTCGTAGGAAACAGTTGTGGTATTAAGCCTGCCAAGTTTCAGGACATTTCATTCATCCACTGATTTTTAGGGATTTTAAAAAGATTTGGAGGCGTCCAGTTTCGTTTCTTTATCCGAATCTCCGAAGCTTCGTAACTGTTTCATTTTGTTCCATTTCGAGGTTCGTTTTTCTGTCATTTTTAAAGCTATCAGGATGAAACTTTGCACACTTGTAGGCAACATTGATGACTTTATGCTTGCCAAGTTTCAGGACATTTCGGTCATCCCCTGATTTTTAGGGATTTTTAAAAGATTCGGAGGGGTCCAGTTTCGTTTCTTAATCCGAATCTCCAAAGCTTCGTAACGTAAAATGAGTAAACTACAACTCCCAGGAGCCCATAACATTGAGTAGGCCAACTACAGCTCCCAGGAGTCCATAGAATGAGTAAACTACAACTCCCAGGAGCCCATAACATTGAGTAGGCCAACTACAACTCTCAGGAGTCCATAGACTGAGCAACCTACAACTCCCAGGAGCCCATCGCATTGAGGAAGCCAACTACAACTCCCAGGAGTCCATCCCAATGAGTAGGCCATCTACAATTCCCAGGAGTCCATGGAATGAGCAAACTACAACTCCCAGGTGTCCATAGCATTGAGCAGGCCAACTACAACTCCCAGAAGTCCATTACATTGAGCAGGTCAACTACAACTCCCAGGAGTCCATAGAATGAGATAAGTACAACTCCCAGGAGTCCATCCCAATGAGTAGGCCAACTACAACTCCCAGGAGTCCATAGAATGAGCAAACATAGAATGAATAAACTATAACTCCCAGGAGTCCATAGCATTGAGCAGGTCAACTACATCTCCCAGGAGTGCATAGAATGAGATAACTACAATTCTCAGGAATCCATCACATTGAGCAAACTACAACTCCCAGAAGTCCATCCCAATGAGTAGGCCATCTACAATTCCCAGGAGGCCATAGAATGAGCAAACTACAACTTCATAACATTGAGTAGGCCAACTACAACTCCCAGGAGTCCATAAAACGAGTAAACTACAACTCCCAGGAGCCCATAACATTGAGTAGGCCAACTATAACAACCACAGAATGAGCAAACTACAACTTCCAGGAGGGAGGGAGGAAGGGAGGAAGGAAGGAGGGAGGAAAGGAAGGAAGGAAAGAAAGGAATTAGGAAGGAAGGAAAGAAGGAAGGAAGGAATGAATAAATGAATGAAGGGAGGGAGAACGGAAGGGAGGGAGGAAGGAAAAATGGAAGGAAGGGAAGAAGGAAGGAAGGATTGAGGGAGAAAGAGAGGAAGGAAGGAAGTAAAGAAAGAAGGAAGGAAGAAAAGAAGGAAAAAATAAAAGGGAAAGGAACATGTTATGAGTGGAGGAAAAGAAAGAAAGAGAAAAAAGAAGGGAAAGAAATGAATACAGAAAGAAGCGAAGGGGGAAGCAAGAAAAAGGGAAGGAAGGAGGGAAAGAGGGGGAAGGAAAAGAAGAAGAAGGAAGGAAGAAGGAGGGAAAGAGAGGAAGAAGAAGGAAAGAAGAAAAGAGGAAAGAAGGGGGAAAGAAGAAGAAAGAAGAGGAAGAAGGGAAGAAGAAGGAAGAAGGGAAAGGAAGGAGGAGAAGAAGGAGTGGGGGAAGGAAGGAAAGAAAGAGAAGAGGGAGGGAAGAAGAGGGAAAGAGGAGGAAGAAGGAGGAAAGAGGAAGAAAGAAAAGAGGGGAAAGAGGAAGGAAAGAGAGGAGAGAAGAAAGAAAGAGAAGAAGGGAGGAAGAGAAGAGGGAGAAGGAAGGAAAGAGGAGGAAAGAAGGGGAAAGAGATAGGAAGGAAGGGAAGAAGGAGGGAAAGAAGGGGAAGGAGGAGAAAAAAGAAGAAGGATGAGGAGGGAAAGAATGAAGGGAAAGAAGGAAGGGAAAGAAGAGGGAAAGAAGGAAGAAGAAAGAAGGAGGGAAGAAGGAGGGAAGAAGGAAGGAAGAGGAGGGAAGAAGAAAGAAAAGAAGGAGGAAAGGGAAGAAGGAGGAAGAAAGGAAAGAGGGGAAGAAAGAGGAAGGAAGGAGGAAGGAGGGAGAAGAGGGAAAGGAGGGGGAAGGAAGAGAAGGAAAGAAGAGGGAAGGAGGGAGAGGAGGAAGAGAAGGAAGAAGAAGGAGGGAAAGAAGAAGGGAGGGGAGAGAAGAAAGAGGAAGGATGGAAGGGAGGGAGAAGGAAGGAAAGAAGAAGGAAGAAGGAGGAGAAGGAAAGAGAGGGAAAAGGGGAAGAAAGAGAAGGAAGGAGGGAGAGGGAAAAAAAGAAGGAAGAAGGAGGAAGGGAGGAGAAGGAAGGAAAGAAAGAAGAGGAGGGAGAAGAAGGAGGGAGGGGGAGAGAGGAGGGAAGGAGGAAGAGGAGGAGGGAAAGAAGGAAGGGGGGAGGAAAAAGGAAAGGAAGAGAAGGAAAGAAGGGGGAAGGAAAGAAAGAAGTAATGAAGGAGGGAAGGAGGGAAAAGGGAGGAAAGGAAGGAGGGAAGGAAGGAAAGAAGGAAGGAAGGAATTGTGGGAGTTGAAGTCCAAAACACCAGGAGGGCCCAAATTGGCCCATGCCACTCTTTCCATATGCTTATTATTGGGTGCATTGACTGGACGGCGAAGTCCTCAACGCTTGGCCTTCTTTAAGCCAACATTGAGGCTCACAAAAGGGACACCCCGCCTTACCTGGGCGTCGGTCAAGAGGTCCCTCATGAGCGACATGGAGTTCTGGAGGGTGTCCTTCTCATCGGGGAGGAAGGCCTGGCCCTCGTCTTCGCTGAGCACCTTGGCCTTGTCCACCACGAAGTCCGAGATCTGGTCGTTCAGAGTGTGCAGGGACTGGACGGCTGCCGAGAAATGAGCACAACACTGGTTCAGGCAAATAATAATAATAATAATAATAATAATAATAATAATAATAATAATAATAATAATAAAGTTATGCTGGCCACATTATTATTATTATTATTATTATTATTATTATTATTATTATTATTTAATAATAATAATAAAAATATAATAATTTAATAAATAATATAATAATTTAATAAATAATAATAAAATAAAGTCATGCTGGTCACATGACCTTGGAGGTGTCTGCGGACAACGCCGGCTCTTCGGCATATATATATATATATATATATATATATTCATTCTTATTCTTATTATATATTTTAATTTAATTATATTTTATTAGGCCTGGGCAATGCATGGTTCTAAATGGTTCTAAAGTACCGGTGGTGAAAATTTCAGAACTCTAACAATGGTTTTAAAGTACTGGGGTGAAAATTTCAGAACTCTAATAATGGCGGTGAAAATTTCAGATTTCTAACAATGGTTCTAATGTACTGGTGGTGAAAATTTCAGAACTCTAACAATGGTGCTAAAGTACTGGTGGTGAAAATTTCAGAACTCTAATGATGGTTCTGAAGCACTGGTGGTGAAAATTTCAGAACTCTAACAATGGTTCTAAAGTACAGGTGGTGAATATTTCAGAACTCTAACGATGGTTCTAAAGTAAGGGTGGTGAACGTTTCAGAACTCTAACAATGGTTCTAAAGTACTGGTGGTGAAAATTTCACAACTCTAATGATGGTTCTAAAGCACTGGTGGTGAAAATTTCACACCTCTAACAATGGTTCTAAAGTACTGGTGGTGAAAATTTCAAAACTCTAATGATGGTTCTAAAGTACAGGTGGTGAGTATTTCAGAACTCTAACGATGGTTCTAAAGTAAGGGTGGTGAACGTTTCAGAACTCTAACAATGGTTCTAAAGTACCAGTGGTGAAAATTTCAGAATTCTAACAATGGTTCTAAAGTAGTGGTGGTGAACATTTCAGAACTCTAAGAATGGTTGTAAAGTACTGGTGGTGAAAATTTCAGAACTCTAACAATGGTTTTAAAGTACTGGTGCTGAAAATTTCAGAACTCTAATAATGGCAGTGAAAATTTCACAACTCTAACAATGGTTCTAAAGTACTAGTGGTGAAAATTTCAGAACTCTAATAATGGTTCTAAAGTACTGGTGGTGAAAATTTCAGAACTCTAATAATGGTGGTGAAAATTTCAGAATTCTAACAATGGTTCTAAAGTACTGGTGGTGAAAACTTCAGAACTCTAATAATGGTGGTGAAAATTTCAGAATTCTAACAATGGTTCTAAAGTACTGGTGGTGAAAATTTCAGAACTCTAACAATGGTTCTAAAGTTCTGGTGGTGAAAATTTCGGAACTCAAACAATAGTTCTAAAGTTCTGGTGGTGAAAATTTCAGAACTCTAAGGAAGGAGAGAGAAAAGGAAGAAGAAATGATTGAGGAAGACAGGGAAGGGAGGAGGGAGAAAGAGGGAAAGGAAGGAGGCAAGGATGGAAGGATGAAGAGAGGAAAAGGGAGGAAGAGAGGAAAGAGAAAGAGGGAAAAGGAGGGAATGAAGGATGGAAGAAGGAGAGAGAAAAGGGAGGGAAGGAAGGAGGATGAAAGAGTCAAGGAGACAGGAAGGGAGGGATGGAGAAAGAGGGGAAAGTA